AGAGAGGAGAGCGAGAGAGAGAGAGAGAGATCCACCATGGTAAACATCAAGACTCACCGTACAGCCCAGAGGTCTTGGACAACCCTCAAAGAACATCAGTGTCTTGTTTAAACATTTACCCCCTTCACCAGCACTGCCATGTTCCTCCACAAACCTATCAATATGAAAATGATCACATTGCTTCAAATTCGACTTCATCAGGTTCTCAGCAGAAGAAACTATCTGTGAACCAGTGCATCGAGCGATGCGCTCTAGACGCTGGAGCTTCATATCCGACACCAATGTTACCCCTTTTCCCAAAAGAGACTCCTGAACATCACGAGAAGCACTTTTCTCTACGAGAACCACATTTGGCTGGCATAACTCTATCTTCTCAAGTATCAATCTAAGGTCTTCTTTCTCCTGGTCCAGTAATGAAGGATAAATTAAGAGATTTGAACAAGTGGGAAGTTCATACATATATAATATGTGGAAAAGCATAACTCATGACACATGCCTCAACTTACATGTTCCAACAAAGAATCAAATGATGCTAACCCACTTGATCGTTGCCCAAGCACACCACGAACAAGTAGCAATCTAGGATGTCCATACTTGGTTGCCATATGCTTGTGCGCTGCATTCTTCTTGAAGACAAGGCCTTTGATGACTTCACTGTAGACAAACAAATCAAAGGAACCAAAATGATCTATCATTGGAACTAATGAATTCTAAGGTTAACATCTAACCGAAGCTAACTACCCAATAAAACAAGATGAAATACAAAATGGAACCTTTAAGATACCAATTGTTCAAGCAAGTGAGCAACATAGAGGAGACAAATAACAAAGCATAAATGCAGAGGAAGAAATAATACCTTTGGCTTCGTGTACCAGATGCAACACATTTAACCTTGACATAGCATCCGGGATCCATGGCTCTTCCCTCATTCGCATCTGGTTTAACAAGAACTGCAGCTTCCCATGACAACGAAGTTACTATATCGAGCCAGCTCTTATCTTGGTCCACCCCATGGTTGAGAGGGATGCCCTCAGACAAGAGTAATTGCCCAACAAGTGCCCTAAAATGCCCATTCATCACCTCCACCATGGCCTTGTGGCGCTCCTCTTTCAACCTGAAGCTGTTACAGCTATCCTTGCTAAAGCTTCCTAGAGAGCTTGATTTATCCCACTTTGCACCATCACTGTAATTGTCATCATCATCATCATCATCATTGGCTACACTACACTCCATGTCATCCTCTTCATCTTCAGGTTTGGGGGGTATCCATATCATGCCATTGGTTTCAATATCAAAGGGCTCAGGAAGCTCTGAGTCTTTCTTTCCAAGTTCCCCATTTTCAGTCCCATCTGAGCTATACTCTGTGTTATCACCATTACTGGCCTCTCTAGTATGGTACATTGAGATCCTACCGTTGCTTAAGTCACCATGCCCATTCGTATCATTGGAAATGGGCTCGTCAATGCTTTTGACAGCACCTCCATCCACATGGTCTTGTGGATGAATGGGCAATTTATGGTTGGAGCCATCTTCATCCATGGTATCGTTGGATCCTTCAACATGATCATCCCTAGGACCCAAAAATAGAAAGAGATTAAAATCAGACACGAAAGAAGACTAAAGGACACAACAAACTGCATAAGAAAGTGATGTGCAGCTCATATAGAACTACCTGATCTGCATTAGATCAACAGGAATCTCTCCTGAAATTAGAAAAAGAGAAATTCAACAGAATCGCTTATTTTGTTTCAATTTCCAAAGGTCCAAAATGAAATCACAAAGGATGAAGAAACAAGACCAAATGTTACCAAAGTCAGATGAGCAACTCGAGTAGCTTGAAAGTGAACTAGCAGGACCGATACCACAAGGTGGTGAATAAGGGGTGGAACCAATTAAATTTACGGAGCCTTGTTTGCCCTCCTTTGAAGTGAAATTCAGAAGAGAAACTGGAAATTATGAAGTCCCCACAAATGGTTTTCCTGGAAACTCGACAAGAGCATATGTTACATGATTTCAATGGATCCGGACCGCATTCGTGACACATCTCATATGTTAGTATACAACTTGGTCGAATTTAATCTCACCCAAGAATCAGCAGCTTGACTATCATTGATTGTTTCCTGAAATTATGAATAATACAACCAAGTTTCTCACGTTGTCTCTAACAGAAGATTGTGAAACTTTGAAGCTACTATGAACCCGAAACCTTTCGTCCCTTGATTCCAGGAAAGTTTTAATCCTTGAAAACAACCTTACTTCTGAGATTTTTCAACGGCTTAAACAAATTTGTCCCATTTCCCTCCCTCAAAATCAAAAACCCAATTCAAAAAGTAACCCCTCCCAAGAGAGAGGAAGCTAACAAATTTCACAAACCCAAAACGTAGTGAAAAATTTTGCTTTCAATCATGAAGCCCAAGTGGCAAAAGGATCTGAAAGCAGAGAGAGAAATCCAAATTTCTTCAATAAAAGAAGAACAAACTAAAAAAGGATGAGAGAGAAAGCAAGGAGACAAACCCAAAAAACCGATTTAAGGAGAGGATGACTTACATGTAAAGGAAAATCCGCTTAGACAACCAGAATTCGAGGCCCCCAATTGAATGCGGGGAATCAACCGAACTCCACTCAAAGGAATAACTCCAAAACACATTTGCAGGCTGCGGGCTCTACACGGCAGGGAAGAAGAAAGCAGAAGAGAGAGAGAGAGAGCATAGGAGAGAGAAAAAGGATTAGAGAAAAGAAGAGAGAGGGAGTGCAGAGGAAAATAAGAATAGGGAGCGCGTAGGAAACAGTGTGGGACCCATTTACAGAAGGTCGACGACTTCATCTCCCTCGAGAAATTTTGAAAAAGAAATGCAAAAACACATTACGAATAATGTACTGTAAAATTAACAGTAACACATAGCGGTTACTCCGTAATGGGAGGGTTAAGGACTCAGAGTATTTAGACAATGAGAAATGACTGAGTAATTTTGGATAATTACAACTGTACGCTTGTCTTTTGGTCGATGATTTTCACTCTATCTTGAATTTGTGCTTATTTTTGGAATAATTCTCAAAATAGGCATATGTACAAGTAAAGACAAAATCGTCCTTACATTTTGAAAAAATGATGAAGTTTAGAAGGCTTTTTTTTTTTTTTTTATTTTGTAAAATCGAACAGAGGAACGGTTAATCAGAAGTGAGGCTAAAAACAGTTTAACCGGCCTAACGACCGATTCAATCGCTCTAACCGGACAAGTCCTAGGCGATCAAAAAAGCGTTAAAAAAATAAATAAAATAAATAACAATTCTACTAAACATGAAAAGCATATAAAGAATGATTAAAACAAAACACATTCAAATAACTTTGAAAATTAATGAAAAAAATGGATTTTAAACCATTTTATATTTTTCAAAGGCTATTTTTAAAAAATTTTAAAAAGAAGGAAAAATATAAAAGCGAGTATTAATAACCAAAACAATTTTTAATATTTACCATAATGTAAAGAATATTTAAAAATACATTACAAATCAACTTCTTTGTTTTTGAGAATTTATATACATTCTTTTTTATTTAATTTTTTAAAATACCAGTTGATCACTCTGACCGCTCAAAACCGGAACCAGCTAATGGCCGGTTCCAATCTAACCGGGCAGTTAGCGATTAGCGGTTAGATCAGGCGATTTTACGAACAATGGCCTAAACATTCTGAAAACAAACTAAAACCTCATCTCAAATCCTCATTTGAAAAGCACTTTGGGCATCAAAAATTATTTATGATGGCTCTAAAATCAATTTTCAACTTAGTATGAAATTTGAAGCTCAAAAACTAGTATAGATCTTGTGGATCAATGAACACTTATTTGTAGGTTGAAATGGACAGTTTAGATAATATATTATAATATTCACTGTTTTAAGACTTGAAATCTTAAATTTCTTTTCACAGTCATAATGGTCAAGGTTGATATAATCGATTTAAAAGTTTTTTTTGAAGCTAGAACTACAATTTTCAATAAGTTTTGTGATGAAGTTTTACTGACCTTTGGAAAATAATCTCAACCCTTTCATGCTCAAAGTTTGAGGGAGATGTTTTGAAGTGAGACCTATTGCATGGATAAAAAATGAAAGTAAAAAAAAATGTCAATACCTGGCAGCCATTATATATGTCGGATTCAATCTAAGCCATTTGATATTATTTTATAGACCTACGTAATGGATGAACCGCAAATATATTTCTATATATATATATATATATGAAAATATATTTTATTTTTAGTTCCCCTCTATTAGGGTACTTTTAGTTCTTTTAGAAATTCAATTGAATTTAGAGTTAAACAAATTAAATAAGCCGACATTGATAGCGACATAGGGGTAGTGTGGGGTCAAAACTCAACAACCGTAGAGTCCAAGGCACAAATGGCAGTTGACAACATTTACCCCTCCTAAATTTTAGTGTCTTAATTTCATGCCACTCCACTACATCAAACGCGTGCGGGGAATACTGTACACATACACCTTCGGGCGTAAGTACTAATTAAGGACTAATTAAGAAGGGTGAGGTTTGTATATGGTGTCAACTTTATACTATTGAAGTAAGGTGCACCTTAAAATTATACTGAAAATTCAATTTTGTCGTTACAAAGTATTCTGATATGTATTCTGATGGTATGAAAATTTATTGCTATTCCTAATTATGAAGTTTAAAGTTCAATAAATGGTAATGATCAAGCAAATCTATGAATACTTGAAAATGGACGGTCCATATAATATATTAGAAGATGAAAGATCTTTTCTTTTTTTTTATTCATATCTATGAATCTTAAGGCCAAGATGATCAATTTGATGGTTTTACAGCATCGGAGAAACCTTCTCAATAATTTTTTTGGGTGCACCGTACTTGTACAGTATGAGGTTGACAATTTACATAAACTTTTTGCATTTAAGAATCTTCAAATCACAAAGGGTGTGATTTGCATAAGGTTCCAACCTTAAACAATCAGATTAAGGTGCACATCAAAACTTTATCCTGAGATTTAATTTTGATGTGGAAAATTCTTAAGATGGCATGATAATCTATTTTTATTACTTGTTATAAAATATTACACTTTAAAAATAGTTCAAATTAAGAAAATCTATAAACGCATAAAAATCTTGAAAATATATGGTTCAGATAATATGTTACAAGATCCACTATTTTTATGACTTGGAATTTTTTTTTTTCCCATATCTATATATCTCGATGTCGAGATAATTCGTTAGATGTTTTTCCAACTTCAAGACAACCTTTTGTAGAAGGATTTTAGAGGGCCACCTTAGTTCTACATTTTAATGTATCAACCTTGTGTAAACTTTTTAATTTGCTTTTTGAAGAAAACGTTTCAGATTTAAATATCTTTTTGAGCAGTTTAGTGTTAGGAATCGAATTTCAGATATGTTGTGAAACGTAACTTACAAACCACTCAAAAGCACAAACCCAATTCCTCGAAAATAGTTTGATAAGGCTGTAGTCCTATCAAAATAAGTAAATCCTCATTTTATAACTCATCGGAAATTGCAGAAAACATTTACATCGATCATTTTCACTTGAACATTATGGTTGTGAAAAAAAACTTAAAATTTCAAGCTTTAAAAATATGATTATTGTAACAAAGTATCTGAACCATCCATTTCACCCTAAAAATAAGTGCTCATATATCTGCAAGATCTGTATCATTTTTTTAGTGTCTAATTTCGTTGTTGGTATTGAAAATTGATTTTAGGACCATCACATATATTTTGGTTATCCTTTTTAGACTAGCATTTGAGGTGAGGCTTGTTTTTCATTTTCATAAATCTTAGCCATTACAAAAAACTTATCCACAATTAAATACTTATATCCGATCATCTAAATTTTGAATATATCTTCAAATTTAGGATGCTATCTCGAGATTGCAGAGGTCGGAAAACAGTGAACCGAATTAATGCTCCCGCAGGAGCATAAATACCCTCTTAGTATGATTTCATATAAAAGTGATTCCTCGTTTATGTTTGTTAGTAACGACAAATAAGAATCGGTCTCGGACGAAATGCCGTTTCTGCCGTTGTTCCTTTCGTTTGATTGCGGAAAAAGCTCGCCGAAATATTGGACTCACTTTACAAAGCGAAAATGCCAATTCCTGATGTTGCCTCTAGCTTCACCTTACATGACATTTTTTCTCCTCACTTTTGTAGATCTATATTATAAGGAGAGAAATTAAAGAACAATTACGTTTTTATACAATAACATGCAGTCCAGGTATAAAGCGTCAAATCTTAAAGATTGATACAAATAGGTTGTTCATCTAAAAATAATTATAATTAAAGATCTAAATATTTTTTTTAAATAATTTTTATTTTTAATTTTTAAAATTTACTAAATCTTTTAATATTATCTCTATATTAAAGATTATAAATTTATTAAAAATTAGGATCAAACTATATTTCAAAAATATATTTATTACCAAACCTACATTTCTACATGTGCAGGCTTGGCCACATGCTAAATGCATTGTTCGCAAAATCGTTCGATCGAACCGTTAACCGTTCAGTTAGAACGGAACCGACCAATTTTAGACAATTAGGGTGATCAAACGGTATTTTTTAAAAAAATATAAAAATATATATATATAAATTCTATAAAAATAAGGAATTTTATTTGTAATGTATTTTTAAATATTCTTTATATTATGGTAAAGATTAAAAATTATTTTGGTTATTAATACTCACTTTTATATTTTCACATATTTTTTAAAAAAATTCAAAAATAGCCTAAAATTATAAAATAGGTTAAAATCCATTTTTTTCATTAATTTTCAATTTCATTTGAATGTATTTTGTTTTAATCATTCTTTATATGCTTTTCATATTTTAGTAGATTTTTTTTTTTGTATTTTTCTCAACATTTTTTTGACTGCCTGAGAGTTGCTCGATTAGAACAGTTGAATCGACCGATATAGGCCAATTAAACCACTTTCAAACCTATTTCCGATTAACCGTTCGGGTTGAATTTTACGAACTCAGGCACGGAATTAAAAAGATAGGAAGATTTTAGAGAGAGAGGAAGGTTTGAAAGTGGGAGGTCAATTCTCCAAAAGCACGCCCATAAACAAAAGTCGCTCCTACTTGTGACGGGGTTTTTAAGGTGGGCCATACATTGAGTGAGAATTTAATTTGATATATTGAATAATTCCTTCAAATTGAAGGTTTTGGATGAGATATAAAATTGCTCCACGGAATTTAGGTAATGAATTGATCATGCCCAACCCACCGGCCTCATTGAATTGAAACCCAAACATTACACTTCTTGGAGAATCTTTCTTGATTGGGTTGTTGATAGGGCGGGCCCGAGTATGGCTGGCCCTTGCTTCATAGGTCTGTCCCAGGTACTATTAGGGCCGAGACGGGCTGGACCAGGGCAAAAAATGAAAAATAAAAGAAAAAACAAGAAAAAAGAAAAAGGTTTAGGTCAGGCTGAACCAAGCTGACACTTACCTTAGCCCGAACTTCAAGCCACAATTTGTTGCCCATGCCCTACTCTTTTAGGGCCAGTCAGGCCACCCCGGGCCATTGCCTGCCCTGCCGCACCTTTCCATTCGGACTAAAAGAGGGACAATATGTATGTGTTTAAGGAGAAGAAAGATGGGGAGATCACAATTTTACCATCACATGCCAAATACATTGTAAAACTTAGCTTAATTACATACGTTGGAACAAATTTTACACTTTTTACCC